TTAATTGTCTTTTAAATTTCCTAGTCAGTATAAACCTTGTAGTCTATAACCACCAATTGGGAAAGATTTATTTCCACAACTCTTTCAGTCTTTTTAAACTTTGCCTCCTTCAATCTTTTGAGGTTTGCACCTAATGTCAAGAATAGTCCATTCATTAAAGTTTATATTGACCATTTGTGACATTCCGATGGACTTGTGGGTCTAATTTAATATATTGTCTGTAAGACTGATATACTCTTTTTTTTTTTTTTGTCGGTTGTGGGGCCTGAACTCTGGGCCTGGGCTCTGTCCCCCAGCTCTTCAGCTGTAGACCAGCGCTCTACCACTTGAGCGTCAGCCCCACTTTTGGCTTTTTCTGCTTATGTGGTGCTGAGGAATCGAACCCAGGGCCTCATGCATGCAAGGCAAGCAGTCTACCACTGAGCCACCTTCCCAGCCCCTGATATACTCTTTTAAACCAGACTGAGGGGTCCTCTGTGGACCCCTGCTGAATGTAGCTGTTGTATTTTATTTAAGCTATTTGGCTTAGGTTTCCTCCAAGATATAGTTTGCTATAGAGATCCACTCATGTTCTAACATTATTAGATTTCATTTCAGTTCTGTGTTGGCATATGTCTGCTGGATTCAAAGTGTTTAGGGAGTTGTCCAGATGAAGGATCTGAGACTCCTTATTAGCCTTGTTTAAAAGTGAGATATCTGGGCTGGGAATGTGGCTCAATGGTAGAGTGCTTGCCTAGCATGCACGAAGCTCTGGATTTGATTCTTCAGTACCACATAAATAGAAAAAAAGGGGGCTGGGAAGGTGGCTCAGTGGTAGAGCGCTTGCCTTGCATGCCTGAGGCCCTGGATTCGATTCCCAGCACCACATAAGCAAAAAGAAAAAAGCCGGAAGTGGCGCTGTGGCTCAAGTGGTAGAGCGCTAGCCTTGAGCTGAAGAGCTGAGGGACAGCGCCCAGGCCCAGAGTTCAGGCCCCACGACCGGACCCAAAAAAAAAAAAAAAGAAAAAAAGCTGGAAGTGGAGCTGTGGCTCAAGAAGTAGAGTGTTATCCTTGAGCAAAAGAAGATCAGAGACAGTGCCCAGGCCCTGAGTCCCCAGAACTGGCAAGAGAGAGAAGGGGGGGTGGGAGGGAGAGAGAGAGACAGAAACAGGGAGAGAGAGAGAGAGAGAGAGAAGGAGGGAGGGAAGGAGGGAGGGAGAGGGAGAGCTCAAGAGCAAGAGCAAGAGCAAGAGCAAGCGAGGGGGGGGTGATCTCACCAGGCACCAATTGCGTGGCTCTCGCCTATAATCCCAGCTACACAGGAGGCTGAGATCTGAGGATTGTGATTCAAAGTCAATTCTAGCAGGAAAGTCCATAAGACTCCGCTTGATCACCAGAAAACCAGAAAGTGGAACAGTGGCTCAAGTGGTAGAGCACTAGCCTAGAGCAAAAAGCTCAAGGACAGCACCCAGGCCCTGAGTTCAAGCCCCAGGGCAGGAGGGAGTGGGGAGACAGACAGACATAAAGGATCTCTCAGCAGCAGTTAACATTCTATTAAACAGAGTCTGTGTATGTGCCTAAGTGGGACAGGGGGTGGCAAAGATGCTTATAAAAAGGAGTTCCTCCATCTTCTGAAGGGTTACAATTCTTCATTAAACAAATCAGAAAATAGAACTGAAAGGATGGCTCATTGCATCCAGGCCTGGAGGCAGGGTAGAACACCAGTTGTGAGCAAAGAAGTTCAGCAATAGTGCAAGGCTCTGAGTTCAAGCCCTGGTCCTGGCATTCCAAAAAAAGCTGAAAGTGGAGTGCAGGTCCATAAATTACTAGTTGGTTGACCCTAAGCATATAGCGTTCCCATGAGTTGTTATCTTAATGGGAATTGCCCTGTACTAGCCTAACAGGGTGCCCCGATGAATCTTAAGAGGGAAAGACTGTTTTGGACTCACCACATCCTGGGGGAGTGGCCTCTCCTGATGTCCTATGGTCCCAGCTCCATTGTCTAGATGGAGGGCTGGTTGAAATGCAGTTGAAGCAGGTAAAGGCTTGTGAAGGAACAAGAGGAGCATTGGGATTTAAAGCAGCAGCATTCTTTTCCCGATATTTACTGTCATTAGGCAGAGACATCTGAGATCCTCCCACCATGAGTGTAGTCCACTCTTTAGAGAAGTTTTGATTATGTAAAAGCATAAATGATTAAGTATATGGTATTTCAGTCCTAATAGTTCGCAAAACAACCAGAGCTGTAAAATAGTATAGCAATACAATGACCTATTCAAAAGTCATTGTTTTTTTCTGAATCTACCCTTCCTTTCTTTTTTCTTTTTCTTTTCTTTTTTTCCATACCTGGGGCTTGAACTCAGAACCTGGGTGCTTTCCCTGAGGCTCTTTGTGTTCCAGGCTAGTACTCTATCACTTGAGTACCACTTCCAGCTTTTTTCTGAGTAGTTTATTGGAGATAAGAGTCTCACAGACTTTCCTGCCCTGGCTGGCTTTGATCTTCAAATCTCAGCTTTCTAAGTAGCTAGGATGATAGGCATGAGCCACTGGCACCCAGTTAGGCAATTTCATGTTACAATAATAGATCTTTTTCTTAGACATACTTTATAGCTATTGGTGAACCAGGCAACTAAGTTTCTCCTTAGGAGGCTTTTTTAGTATTTCCTACAGTTACAGATGAACACAGAAATCTCCTCACTCTCTAAATCCCTGGTGCCTCTGTATAGCTCATATCTCTTTTTACTATTCAATACCAAAGAATTCAAAAATTTTCAAATTTCCCAATTACAATAAATGCCTTCAGCCTCTAATAGCCTTAAAGAGCTCAAACCAAAAGGAAATAGGAAAAGAACAAGGTCCAAACTCCACCTATGAATTTGAGGGTTAATTTCTCTGCTTCAACAAAGTTGGGGGGAAAAAGTCAACCAATGGAAATCTGAAATGAAGGAAAACAAACCCCCACATGAAGGTAATTTCAACAACGGCAGAGATCTTCCTCTCTCATCCTTGAGGCCAAGGTTGAGTAGCAGTCTGTGGCAATCCCTACCCTGTCAGTACAGCATTGTCCTCATTGGTGCACCAGATTTGTTATCAGAGGCCCAGGGCAGAAGCCCACACTATGAGTGTCCCAGTGACTCAGTCTTAGCCACTTTTCCCAAGAAGGTAATCAAGTGGAAAAGTTGATGATGAAGTAGGAAAAGGAACTATAATTTCAGTGCGCCCACACAGAGAGGACAAGTCTAAGGGCTAGCCTCAGTGTAAGAATAGCTCCCTAGGGCTGGGAAGGTGGCTCAGTGGTAGAGCGCTTGCCTTGCATGCATGAGGCCCTGGGTTCGATTCCTCAGCACCACATAAGCCAAAAGAAAAAAGCCGGAAGTGGCGCTGTGGCTCAAGTGGTAGAGTGCTAGCCTTGAGCTGAAGAGCTGAGGGAAAGCACCCAGGCCCAGAGTTCAGGCCCCACGACCGGATCCAAAAAAACAAACAAACAAGAATAGCACCCTAGTGATCAAATAGCAGGGAAGGAACTATGGCACAAGTTGAGGGGTTTCACATAAAACAGAGTCCTACCAATGCCAGGGATGTTACTGCATCTCTGGGACCAATTTCATTTGTTTCATAGGATGTTTATCAGGCCTGTGGTACTAGAAAAGAGTAATCTCTGCTTGCTTCTCAAGGTATTTATCAAGCAGACTTGATATTTAAAATAAAACTGAAGGCAAGGACCACTTGGAAAAGGACAGATAAGAGGAGGAGAAAATGAAGTTCGATGGATGAATAATTACTTTATCATTCACTAATCCCATTTGTGAAAGCTCCCTGGGCCTGTTGGGGGGAAGGGTTTCATCATGATTTAGGGGGAGGAAAAGAAGGGGACACATACATTCAGTCCATCATAGTATGCCATTTCATCTCCCATGCCAGGCATTGGTGGGCACAGCACAGGCTTAGTGTATCTGTAAGGTTACACCTTGAGTGTCAGTTTGGATCAGGACACTTAGGATAACAGTAGGAAAATGAGATTTGTTTTTGTGGGTAGTGACTGGAAAATAGATAAGGCTGCTGAGGATAGGTAGAGTCCCAAAGGCAGCTGACCTAGAAGGTGGAGTGGTCTGGCCTGCTTTAGTCCTAAGAGAACAAATGTTCAGGGAGCTGAAGATGAGTGAGTCAACAGCCTCAGGGCTGGAGGGACAGAAGCAAAACTCTACATCGATGAAGGGTGAAGGATAGGGTGAAGTGTGGGATAAAAGGGCTAATGCTGCTGGAGAGAGGAGAGGTGTGGGCAGTGGAGGACGAAAGATGTCTACAGGGTAGTCCATGTTTTTCTACCTGACATCTTCCTAGAGTGAGAACACAGGACTCTCCCAAGGTAAATCCTGTTCCAGGGGACACCAGCCTGCCTTTTTCTCCCTGTGAGTCCTCTGGTTGTAGCTTCTGAAGAGAAAGCTGTATGACTCTGGCCACCACAAATGACTTTCCCAAGGCTGTAACCCACAAGAGGGGCCTTCCACCCAAGGGGTGGGAAGACTGACAGGCAGTCCCAGCCAGGGAAGGAGAGGTGTGGGCACTGCTGCTATTTCTAACTGCCAGAGGGAAGGGAACCTTGACTATTTGAAAAGCAGGCTGCTTGTCAGGGGTGGAACCCAACTCGCAGCTGTCAGGGCTGTCACATGGAAAGCACTTGGCAGGGGGCGGCAACAGGGGGCTTGGACTGACAGGGCTGTGATTTTGAAAGAAATGTCTTTAAGAAAGCGATTTAAAGTAGGAGAGAAATATTATTATTAGATAATGGCTGTCAGGTTCTTTTTTGAGGTGTTCTCTGAGCATTTCATAATCCTCTCATCCTTAAATGGTAAGCCCTTCTTGGCTGGGGGCCATGAACTGTGCCTCTGGGGGTTTTACCCCAGCCCTGGCATGCAACAGGTGTCAGGAGGTATTTGCTGCCTGACCAATGGTCACTTGGGTGGAAGGTTTTCTAAATAAGCCTTTAGGTTTTGTTAATAAACTACAATGTTGGGTGAGTATTTGATCTTTGAATACTTGAGCCCATGGAGCCCAGCTAGGACCAGGTATGTACCAGACCCCTCAGCAGGAGCAGCAGAGGACGGGGCTCTGGGGATCACCCACCTGAGACTCAACTTCCTTAGAGTCCTTCCTGTAGGCCTTCCTCATAGTTCTTTCTCATAGTCAGTACTCCATCAGGCCTGTCTCCTGAGCCCCGCTTCTTCCCAGACCACCCTAGGCCCTAGACCTGAAACCACTTCTCTGCTTCCTGTGCTTACTGCTGGGATTTTAACGCCTATCCCAATGTCCTCCAAAACATTAACCTTGTGACGAGTTATGCTTCCTCCCTTTGCCATGCCTGCTCATGCTGCCTTGTTCTAGAGCTCCTCATCTACTGCCAGGCAAAGTCCAGACACACTGTAGTGTTCATTCATGGCTCAGTCTCCCGGATCCCCAGACTGTTTGGACTCTGGAGTTAGAGGCTTTCCTGCCAGGATATTCCCATCTCTTCTTCAACTACAGATGGGAAGAGGGGATTATTTTATTTCATCTTCTTGTTTCAAGTTCTGGGGGTGGAGCTAGGCCCTTGCACATGTTAAACATGCATTGCCTCTGAAACACACCTTGTCCCTGGAAGGGAGATTTTTTTTTAACTTTTTTAATTTTAATTTAATTTAATTTTTTGCCAGTCTTGGAGCTTGAACTCAAGCCTGGACATTATCCCGGAGCTTCTTTTGGTCAAGGCTAGCACTCTTACCACTTGAGCCACAGTGCCACTTCTGGCTTTTTCTGCTTGTTTGGTACTGAGGAATTGAAGCCAGGGCTTCATGCATGCTAGGTAAGCACACTACCACTAAGCTACAGGCTTTTCTTATTTCTTATTTCCTCCATCCTGGGAGGAGGAGGGTCCTAATTGTAACCTCATGCTGCTGGGCTGAGGACAACAGGCAGAGGCCATGTGTGGTGTGGCTCAAACTCCTTTCTCCTTGCAGCTACGCTCTTTGCCTTCTGTACAAAAGAGAAGCACTCATGGACAGGATTTGCTGAGTCAGCAGAGGATGGGCTCATCACTAGGTTCTGTCAGATATATGACATTAACTGTTCCTGGGGGTCACAGTGCACAGCTGTCAGATGGGGCCTTGCACCTTGGAAAATAAACCTGCCTGGTGCTTGTTTTGCCAGGTAAGATTAGATAAGACTATTTGCTACCTTTTTTGTGTGTAAGTGTACTTTCACTTAAGTTTGTAGTGTTTCAGAGCCAAAGAGCCCTAAGTGCAATTGTCACGTGAGGTTGCTGTAGCCCAGAGAGACATTGTGTGATTATTTTTTATTTTTGTGCCAATACTGGGGCTTGAACTCAGAACCTGGATGCTGTCCCTTATACTTTTTGTTCAAGGTGGCCCTCTACCTCTTGAGCCAAAGCTCCACTTCTGGCTTCTTGGTGGTTAATTGGCAACAAGAGTCCCACAACTTTCCTGCCTGGGCTGGCTTTGAACCATGACCCTCAAATCTCAGCCTCCTGAGTAGGTAGGATTACAGGAATGAGCCACTCATGCATGGTTGGCCATAGTAAATCTGGCGAGAGGTGGAGCTAGTGCTCATAGCTTTACCTGCCCCATTTCCCATTTGCTTAATTCTACATAAAACTTGACACATTGCCTGTCTCCTCAGTGTAGATTTTTTTTTCATTTTTAAAATAAAACCTTATCATACATGTGATATGACCTCATTTAAATCAACTGTCCAGAAAGGAAAATGACTAGAGACAAAGCAAATTCATGGTTCTCAGGGAAGAATTCATGGTTCCCTCACGGGAACAAGGAGCATACAGCTTTTGTTTGAAGTGATGAAACATGTCCCAAAATTAGAATGTGATATTTGCTCAACTCTGTGAATATACGAAAAACCACTTAAGTGCACACTTTATTTTTTATTTTTTTATTTTTTTTTGGTCCAGTCGTGGGGCTTGAACTCTGGGCCTGAGCGCTGTCCCTCAACTCTTCAGCTCAAGGCTAGCGCTCTACCACTTGAGCCACAGCGCCACTTCCGGCTTTTTTCTTTTTGCTTATGTGGTGCTGAGGAATCGAACCCAGGGCCTCGAGCATGCAAGGCAAGCGCTCTACCACTGAGCCACCTTCCCAGCCCTTAAGTGCACACTTTAAAGAGCGAGTTTATCCTTGCACTTTACTAAATCTCTTATCAGAAAAACTCAATAACATTCAAAGAGGTGGCAGATTGTGATTTATCTTTATGCTCAGTTCTAACAAAAGCACTACTCCTTTCAATTTTCTGTGCTCTCTTCCAGACTTTCTACATGTATTTAAAGGAGTTTTAGGCAGAGCTGTAGTCATAGTGATTTTTTTTTTATCCATCCTGTGTTCCTATTCTAAACATTGGTATTCTTAGGATAACAGAATAAAAATCTCCTATTCATCAGGTTGTTGACTCTTTGATATGGAGAAAGCAGATCGGAAATTGGACGGGCAGCTATTGCAGTTGATAAGCCTGAACTAAGACTTGTGGGAGGGTGTGAATGAGGACTGGTACTAGAAGGACACTTGTCAGCTTTAAGCAGGAAAAGGGAGCCAAGGCCTCCATGAGCACAGAGATCCTAGTGTTGCCATCCAAAGATACCTTTCCTTCTCCTCTGTCATTAAAGCTAGAGGCAATGATGGACCAATTAGAATAGAGGACACCAGCTGGGACTGTTCACCTTCATGGTCACTAGCTCCTGATGTTCTTGAGACCAAAGGGATTAGTGCCTGCCAAGAATATAATCCCCAAAATTGAGGTGTTAGAAATTTGACTCCTACCCCCATTGTAGGTGTTATGAGGTAGGGCTTTAAGGTATGAGCATTCTACTCTAATAGTGGATTAATTTCAGTGTCTCAAGAGTAGATTTGTTATTAAATAAGTGGGAGCCAGACATGGTAGTACACACCTGTAATCCCAGCACTCAGGAGTTTGAAGCTGAGGATCACCAGCCTAGGCTCTGGCAACCCCTGTGCCCCTGGGCAGGGCTTTCAGGGCTCCTCATTTAATACGGGCAGCAAGTGATGAGATAGCTCCACAAGACCTTGCTTGTTCACTTGGTTCTTCCCTTGAGGCTGAGCACTTGGGTGGTTTCCAGCTTTGCCTCCTAACAAGTAACAGAGCTTTGTGAATTCATATGCAAATATTTTTCTCCTCAACTCACTTCCTCTAAGGCATGATGCCATAGCAAGAGGTGCTGGCTTCCACACTGTGGTCCTGGTGCCCAGGTTTTGGGAGAGCCATTCCCAGTGCTAAGGTGGCGACAGCTGGGGAAGCGTGTTGGCCAGCTCTGAGTGCTGTCAGAATGTGATGTTTAGATTATCTTTGTATTTAAACAAGATGCCCCATCCTCAAGATTGGCATTTCCTCTGCATTTCGAGTTTGCATGGCAGATCTGTGAGCCAGAACACAAGCCCTACCTTCCTTACCTCAGGACCACCACCCTGTATGTGTACCCATAGGTCTGGTTTGGGTCTAGGAGGGATACTATAGAGAAGAAGGAAAATATCAGGCCTTAGATTTTTCCCTCAGAGAATATACAAAGCCCTCATGGTGGCTCGAACAGAAGCAACAGCCACCCTTGGTAATTGCAAGATGAAGAGATTATTGATCATTTACTCACCAGGCCTGCCTGGACCTTTGGGGGGTTGTAAGCTAGAGTATCCTTCTCCTTCTTCCTGCTATATGTAAACATTCCTAGAGCTCCCTAGTAGAACTTGCAGTCTGGGTATGAACTGGTTTCTGGGCACAAAAAAGCTGTTGCTGCAGATCCAGACAGCCCTTCATGCACACAGAGGCCCTCCCTCGACCTGCTGGCTTAGGGTTTTACTAGCCCTAATTAAGCACACAGCATTTACTGAATGTAATAATATCCACATAACTTCTTAGGTTCTCTGCAACCTATTAAAGTTATTGAAAAATAATATTTGTCTTCCTTAGCCAAGAATCATCCAGCCCTCAGTTTTAAGGGTGTGCAGTAAAAATTGTAGCAGGTCTTGGGGAAAGCAATATGTTTTTTGAGCTCTTACAGTGGTCACACTGTAAGACAAGCTAAGGATACTTCTAGAACTGTAAGATGTAGCCAGACTAGTCAAAACTTCTCCTGTCCCTCTCACAATGAATCTCTGGGGCCAACTGAAGCTAGAAATGCAGCCATTGCCAACCACTGTTTCACTTGTGCTATTAACCATGTGGGTGAGGTAAGTCTCCGTGTTCTAGTTGAGGAAGGGAGCTACAGTCCCGTGGTCTTAGTGGGAACATATCACAGGTATCTCCCTGTTTTCCATGTATCCGTGCCACCATTGGGAGGGTACCAGAAGGGGAAAAACTGGCTTCATCTGGTACTATTTTCTGTTTCTCCTTTCCATTCCTTTCCTTTGTCTTTCTTTCTATCTATCCTTTCTTTTTGTTTGTTTGTTTTTTTTCTTTTTTATGTCAGTCCTGGGGCTTGAACTCTGGGCTTGGGTACTGACCCTGAGTTTTGTGACCCAAGGCTAGTGCTCTACCTCTTGAGCCACAGCTCTGCTTCCAGCTTTTTGGTGGTAAATTGGAGATTAGAGTCTCACAGGCTTTCTTGTCCAGGTTGACTTCAAACTGTGATCCTCAGAACTCAGCCTCCTGAGTAGCTAAGATTATAAGCATAAGTCATCGGTACCCAGGTATTTTCTATGCTTTTGTTTCAACTACAATCATTCACTTCTTTCCAAGTGTCTAGTTTCTTACTCTCCCCAAATTGATAGACCTTATGCACTAAATAGTAAGACTTGCAAACAAGGCATTTATTACATCTAACTCTTTCCCTTTTTTTTATTAATCTGATGTCAAATTCTCATTCTGTGTAAGAAAACCAGGGATTGTACACTAAATCTGACTCTGGGAACATAAAGAAACTCTGCAGTTTAGTCAGGCCAACCTTCCTTCCTTCACAGTCTTAAGAACTAGGTGCTCATTGTCCCCTGTCCACTCATTACAAATTCCCTATTGACAAAATCCAGGTGTTGGGCTGGGAAGGTGGCTCAGTGGTAGAGCACTTGCCTTGCATGCCTGAGGCCCTGGGTTCGATTCCTCAGCACCATATAAGCAAAAGAAAAAAGCCAGAAGTGGCGCTGTGGCTCAAGTGGTAGAGCGCTAGCCTTGAGCTGAAGAGCTGAGGGACAGCGCCCAGGTCCAGAGTTCAGGCCCCACGACTGGACCAAAAAAAAAAAAAAAAAAAAAACAAAATCCAGGTGATCACCTGCCTTCTTAAATTCCTTGCTAGCTGAGTGCTCAATTGATAATTTAACAAATTTTCATTTTTCCAGAGACTACAGACCCGTCTACCTCACTTCAACCATTTCTTAGCTAACTGCACTCAGCATGCCCTCTGTTGTTGGTCTGGCCAAGTGATCTGGAATGCACGTCACAGTGGTGCCACCCACTGGCTCCTCTTACCCTGCTATTCCTTCACAGAAGCACTTCCCCAATGAGTTTACTTCTGGCGTCAGAAAGAAAAGTAAGTTACATGGACTCTTGTGTTTGTGGGTCCCACCCTCCCCTTGTCCATCTGCTTCCTCCTGGCAGGGTCTGCCCCACAGCCTAAGTCTTCATGCTGGCAGCTCAGAGGAAACACTGACTCTCTGCTTTGTTGCCTGGGTGAATTTCTGCGGCATGGACAGCAGTCCTGGACTTGTGGCCACCTCATTCCCCTAAAGGGGATCATATGAGAATTGGACAAGACTCCAGACTTCTCCCTAGAATTGGTATGAAAATGGACTATGTGTGAGAACTCTCCATAAGGCTCCCTGCAGCCTGCAAACCTTTCTCCCTCTTTTTTTTTGCTTCTCTCCGCCCCCTAAAGCAAGCTGTACCAATGCCCTTGGATCATAAAAGACTGCCTTGGGTTTCTGGAGTACGTAGTTTGTTGTGAGATACACCACCATAACTCTGCCAGGAAATCTACACCACCAGATTTAATCTCTCTGGATGAAGATGTGAAAGGGCTTTTTTTTTTTTCATTAAGGTCTCTTAATTGCCTGGGGGTCACCCCTGGGAACCTGGACAAAGGGGTGCTAAGATATATCCCTCTTTTGAGTACTCAGATGGCACTCCAGACTTTCAGTATTCACTATCAGTTAGCATACTGGATATGAGCCTATGGAAAAAGCAGTGGAACAAGGGTCTTAGCTAGACAGGTCTGGTCCTGCATCCATAGACTCTTCACACCCCTTGGGAATCCCTTACCCCGTCATGACTAGTGAAGAAGCTAAGGCATGGAGTGGGGGTAATGTGACATAACTGGCATTAGAGGCATGTCCTCTGTTTTCCAAATGAAACACATAGGAAATGGGTCATACCAGAAGCCTCACAACTTCCTGGGGCTGTGGGTGGCCAATGTTGGCAGGGAAAGGCCAACCCAGCTTAAGGGTAACAGAAAGTTTCCCAGGGTCAGAGTGGAATGACACAATGGTCACCTTTGCAGCCTCTCGGTGGATGTTCAGGCAGGAGGAAGCGGGCAAGTCCTTTGGGCTTAGGTGTTTTCCAGACTCTGGGGAGGGTGGTATGGACACCTTATCCTGGTTTCCCTCAGGGTGCCCGTCCCTCTGCAGAGCCCACACTGTGTGTGTGTACAAGCTTGTGATTGCTTCCCTTTGCTTCTTAAAGCTCACCATGACTTCGGCTACTTTTATGGCTCGAGCTATGTGGCAGCCCCTGATGGCAGCCGGACTCCTGGGCTGTCACGTCACCAGGATGGGCTACTAGTTGCTGAGCTCAACCTCAACCTCTGCCAGCAGATGAATGACATGTGGAACTTTAAGGTGGGTGCCCAAGTCCCCTGCCTCCTGCCTCACCATCTTGCCTGTTGGGCCAGAAATTGCAGTTGCCTGGTTTGTACTCAGATGACCTGCAGAGGGTGCCCACTCCCACCTGAGAGTTCCAGGAATGCAGAGAGCCAGGCCTCTGCTTCCCTCCTGCCTGCAGGGATGAGCCACTGGGCTGAAGGATGCGCCTGCAGCAGGCCTCAAGTTCTCCTCTCATCTGATTTAGAGTGCAGCGCCTCCACACAAATTAATCCCAATTTCATTTGTCCAGAGACTAGAGTGGATTGGCTTCTGTAATCTTTTTTTTTCCTTTCCAGGCATTTGCACTTGTTGAAAGATAAATGTGTGTGTCTGGTTCTGTCTGTGACCAGGCTCCACAAAGTAGGCCTGGACAATGGTAGGAAATGGATCATGTAGAGTAACTGGATCCAGGCCTGGCTCTGCCCATTCTGATTTCTGTAGTAGTTTTTCTAGTTTACATTCCCACTAATAGTGTATGAGGGCTCTTTTTTTCCCAGCATCCCCAACAGCATTTGTAGTTGTTTGTTTTCTTAGTGATGGCCAATCTAATGGAATCTAAGTGTGGCTTTGTTTTGCCTTATTGTTGATGGTACTAGTGGTGGTAGTGGTGGTGGTGGTGGTGGTGGTGTGTGTGTGTGTGTGTGTGTGTGTGTGTGTACATGTGCACGTGTACCAGTATTCAAACTTGAATTCAGGGTCTGGGTGTTGTCCCTTAACTTTTTCTTTCAAGGCTAGTGCTCTACTTCTTGAGCTACAGCTCTACTTCTGGCTTTTTGATGGTTAATTGGAAATAAGAATCTTATGGACTTTCCTGCCAGGGCTGACTTTACATCCCAATCCTCAGATCTCAGCCTTCTGAGTATTTAGGATTACAGAGGGTGAGCCACTGATGCCTGGTTGAATCTAAATTTTTTTGTCTTTTTCTTTTTTGGTGCCAGGACTAGGGACTATCCCTTAGCTTTTTTCTCTCAAGGCTGGTGGTTTACCACTTAGGCCAGAGTTCCACTTCTAGCTTTTTGGGGATAAGTCTTATGGATTTTCCTGCCCAGGTTGGCTTTGCATTCAGATCCTCAGATCTCAGTCTTCTGAGTAGTTAAGTTTACTATTGGGTGCCAATGACACCCAGCAGAATCTAAGTGTAGTTTTTGTTTTTTCTTTTTGGCACAGTACTAGGGCTTTAACTCAAGGACTGGGGGCTGTCCCTTAGTTTTTTTTTTTCTCTCTCAAGGTTGGTGCTCTACCATTTGAACCACAGCTTAACTCTGGCTCTTTGCTGGTTAGTTGGAGATAAGGGTCTTACGGACTTTCCTGCCAGCTCTGGCTTCAAACTGTGATCCTCAGATCTCACCCTTCTGCGTAACTAGGAATGTAGACATGAGCCTAACTAGTTTTGTGGGGGTTTTTTGTTTGTTTGTTTTGGGTTTGGTTTTTTTTTTTGCCAGTCCTAGGGCTTGAACTCAGGGCCTGGGCACTGTCTCTCAGCTCTTCAGCTCAAGGTTAGCGCTCTACCACTTGAGCCACAGTGCCACTTCTGGCTTTTTCTGTTTATGTGGTGCTCAGGAATTGAACCCAAGGCCTCATGCATGCAAGGTAAGCACTCTACTACTGAGCCACCTTCCCACCTGCTATATAGTTTTGATTTTCATTTTTTTTATATGACTAAGGAGGTTGAACATTTTTAATGTATTTATTAGCCGTTTGTATTTCTTCTAGGGGTAGCTAAGATTAACACAGGATTCTACCTAACTCAAAAGTCATAGCCATGACTGACAACCACTTCTTATTAACAAGTATGTAGCGAAATTGCTATATACATCAACTCAGCCAAAAAACCTGAGTTCACAATCCTAGCCCTCTTTGCTTCTTGTTGGTGATCTGGAGTAGGCTGGTCCCTTTTCTAGCCTTAGGCTGTCTTCTGAGATTTTTCTTTTTTTTTTTTTTTTGCGGGGGGGGGGAGGGGGGTGTCCGGTAGTGGGGTCTGAACTCTGGGCCTGAGCGCTGTCCCTCAGCTCTTCAGCTCAAGGCTAGCGCTCTACCACTTGAGCCACAGCGCCACTTCCGGCTTTTTTCTTTTTGCTTATGTGGTGCTGAGGAATCGAACCCAGGGCCTCAGGCATGCAAGGCAAGCACTCTACCACTGAGCCACCTTCCCAGCCCTCTTCTGAGATTTTTCAGACTATAGGATACCCTGTTTGCCTTGTGCCTGCATCAAAGGATTCCATATCATCTCCTGGAAGGTACTGATTGCAGGTCTCAGCAGGCTGTCCTGGACTGTGAGAGTGAGCCTGGCACTCATAAACTCCACCTGAATCAGTGCAGAGAGGTCACACTGGAGGTGCTTTTCTATTCCAATCTGGAACTGTTCTGTCAGCCAGCCAGATGAATTCCTGTCCCATGGCTGCCCCCTAGTGGCAAGAGGTGGTGGCAAGTAAGTGACAGACATTTGTAAACAGAAAAGTCCAAATGTTTTGTTTTCAGATGTGAGTTTGCTGAAGATGTCAAACCATACTTACAGCCCCACCATGATGAACAAGTACTTGGTTTCAGCCTCTTCCTGCCAACATGGGGGGAGAGGGGGCGAGCTCCTCTCCCCTCAATGAATGATGAGTTTTACAATGTCCAGAAGAGTTTTTTTTGTTTGTTTGTTTTTTGTTTTTGTTTTTATTGGTCATGGGGCTTGAACTCTGGGCTTGGGTGCTGTCCTTGCACTCTTCAGCTCAAGGCCAGCGCTCTACCGCTTGAGCCACAGCTCCACTTCCGGTTTTCTGGTGGTTAATTGGAGATAAGAGTCTCATGGACCTTCCTGTCCTGGCTGGCTTTGAACCACGATCCTCAGATCTCAGCCTCCTGAGTAGCTAGGATTACAGGCGTGAGCCACTGGCGCCTGGCTGAGTTTTGGTTTTTTGTTTTGTTTAAATATTTTATTGTAGAGCTGGGAATATGGCTTAGTGGTAGAGTGTTTGCAGCTCAGGGACAGTGCCTCTGTGTGTGTGTGTGTGTGTGTGTGTGTGTGTGTGTGTGTGTGTGTGTGTGTGTATTATAACGGTGATGTATAAAGGGATTACAGTTATATAAATTAGGTAGTCGGGCGCCAGTGGCTTCACACCTGTAATTCTAGCTACTCAGGAGGCTGTGATCTGAGGATTGCAGTTTGAAGCCAGTTCAAGCAGAAAAGTCCATGAGACTCTTACCTTCAATAAGCTAATCAGAAAAATTCAGAAGTGGTGCTGTGACTCAAGGTGTAAAGCACTGGCATTGAGCACAAAGAGGCTCAAGGACAGCACTTATACCCTGAGTTTAAGCCCTGGCAAGAGACAAAAAAAATGAGTGTATTTCTTTTTGGTCAGTGTCATCCCTTCCCTCATTCTCTCCCAGTTTTCCCCTCCTATCTCTACCACAAGTTGTATAGTTCCTTTTCAACACAGTGTCCAGTGAGTGCTACTGCTTCATTTGTTTACCTTTTGTCCCCCAGAAGATTTTGTGTGTGTGTGTGTGTGTGTGTGTGTGTGTGTGTGTGTGTCCGGTCGTGGGCCTGAACTCTGGGCCTGGGCGCTGTCCCTCAGCTCTTCAGCTCAAGGCTAGCGCTCTACCACTTGAGCCACAGCACCACTTCCGGATTTTTTTCTTTTTGATTATGTGGTGCTGAGGAATCGAACCCAGGGCCTCAGGCATGCAAGGCAAGTGCTCCACCACTGAGCCACCTTCCCAGCCCTCCCCCAGGAGATTTTTAAATGCACAGGTAGGGGACAGGTATAATGGAGAGTCACAGAAGAAAAATAATGTGATGATAGAAATGTTTTTGAACTAGAT